CATTACAACATTGATTGTTCGGATCACTAGTATCTAAGTCTTCCGCTGTGCTATCTTATACTTGTATTGAAAGGTCGGTTCTTGTTCTGGTCTGCACCTATACGGTATGCAACATTTCCTCTCCTGAGGACAGTGGTGCAGTTAGTCTTGGTTTGTTAGCAGAACGGTGCAGCATCTCAGAATAACTACCACCGTCTTCCCCCGAATAAAGTCTACAGTCGTTATGGCCGTATTTGGCTCACATTTCAGTCCAGATACAGCGAAAATGACCGAACGGTCTATTCAGGGGGAAGAAGGTAGTAGTATGTGATTTCAATGGGGTGGTTTGGCTTGTGCAGGGAACGATGCATGTGTGCTTGGACTCTGGAGGAGGAATCCGGATTTCATTTGGCTGGATTATCGTCATTATTTTGTAATGACCGTTTTGCTGCCAAGGAATGTTGTCCCCCTAGTGCTAGACCTGGCTGGCGTTTTCAACTCTGTGATTTTGTTTGATCTCTTTCTCGTCTGTGGAACCAATTGGACCCCTGATCTATTTTTTGCATGATGGAGCTAGCAAAGAGTTTGGCTCTACTCTCTGATTTTGACTCTCTCAATGTCACACATTTTGTGGACGGTTAAGGTAGAAAGAATCAAGTATGGTGGTTGCTAAAAAAGAAAGTAATCTTTTGTCTTCGATTCCCTCAGGTGCAATGAACGTCCTAGTTCAACACCAGTGAGCGCACATATTCACACCACATGCATGTATGAGTTCACACGAAATTCACACTGGAGACCAGAGAGATGAAGACCAGGTAGCGCAGCTTGTCATTTCCAGAAAGTATTACAAGAGCAAGAAGAGTTCAAGTCACCAGCGCTCATGACGAATGCACACTCACTAACTTCTATTCAAGGATCTACTCTGCATACACCCACTGTCAACTCTACTAACCCCTCTGCAGTCTACTACTAACAACTAGCACTGACACTTCTGCACTGGCGCAGCTATGGCTGCCTTCTTCCTGCCAGCGCTATCTTCCTCTCTCTTCCTCACTTAGCGCAGCACTCTGGCTTCAGCGCTCTGCTCCTCACTCCAGCGCACAAGTGCAGCAGCACTTCCACACTTCTTGCGAATGAGCAATCTGCCCGAATGGTAGGCTGGCCAGTCCTTTTGTAGTCTTGGAATGCTCTTCAACTCGTGCCAGCCTCTGCTTTCTGGTACCTGGCTGGTTCTGGTACCACATCCCCACGGCCTGTCTGCTTCTGAATGTCAAGGCCTGGAACTTTCCTGAATTTCCTTTGGTCTGCTGCTGCTTGGGCCTTTGAGTCATGACTTTTCACTTGTGAACATGACTTTTGACTGTGGACTGTGACTCTTGCCTCTGGAACACGACTTTTGCCTGTGGAACTGCCCTTTTACTTGTGGGATGTGACTCGTCAGTACGACTTTTCATTATGAGACGTGACCCCTGCCTTTGAGACATGACTCTTCCTTGTGAATCTGCCTTTCACTCGTGGAATGTGTCTCTTCAAAATGGCTTTTTATTATGAGGCGTGACTCTTGTCCCTGCGATGTGACTATTTGCTGGGTGCCTGTTGGACCAGACTGCTGAGGTACCCGACTGTGACTTTTTTTTTTTTTTTTTTTTTTTTTTTTTTTTTTTTTTTTTTTTTTTTTTTGTAATTTGGACCATTTCTC